GTTAATGCTGCACTGTCAGTTTGACCTCTACCGATATGTGCCCCTCCTGCAAGTAGAGCCTGCAAGGAGCTCTTGATCAGGCCACTGCACCCACCTTTGCTATGTCCTTCTGCTTCGTGAAGTAGAGGAGCACATCGAGGTACGTGTACAGCAGGATCTGGCAGAGGTCCAGGTCCTTGATTCTGCCCAAGAGGATGTCAAACACGGGAACCATGACCTCCCCGAACGTCCGCACCTCCTCATCCATTGTTAAGGCTTCTATGACCTCCTCAAGAAACTCGGTCACATCTTCGAAGTCTAGCGAGGGAAGCAAGGCTGTTACTCACGATACTCCAAACAGCTGAACCTCAGCACGTGTATACCTAAACATAGCCCTCCCTTTTAGCAAGGAGGGGAGCCAAAGCTTCACCCGACTCCACGACGCTCTTCCCGCAGCTTAAGCTAAAGCGTGGCCTCACAGCACGAAGCTAGCGGCGCAACCCAGCTGGACTTACGCGCCCCTCTCAGCGCCTCCAGCATCAGGTCCACCAGCTGCTCGTACACATTCTGGTTGACGTAAATCTCTGGGGTGAGGAGGACAGTGCGAGTGTTTGACACGGTCAGGTTCCGGCAGCGCACGGCGAAGGGCAGCAGGTTCTCCGGGACCTTGGTTATCTGTGCAAGGAGAACGAGACAGAGTTGAGGCCCTGGCACCAGCTTCTGGCCATTAAAACCTCAGCTCTGTCACTTCGGACCAGAAAGCCAGGTGACAAAGCTGCCTTCTTCCTCAGGAGCCCCTGCCCACCTCTTCTCTTGCCCTCCGGAAGCAGGCGTAGAGGTAGCGCAGAATCTGCCTCTCCCCCGCATCCCGGTCGGCGGAGAGGTTCTGCGTGCTGGTGGAGGTCATGTAAATCAGGTGGTTTCCAGGCTCCGGCAGCAGCAAGCGGGTGAAGAGGGCCTAGGGACCAGCAACGCCAGACATAAACTGAAACAGCCCTGGCAGAGAGACAATCCCTCCAGAAAAAGAAGCACCATGTCACTGCAGGCTAGGTTACTTCTGCCTGGAAGAACACTTGCTATTCCTCATTAATTAACAGAATGCTACACCAAGAACACTCAGGTTTGCTCCTTTGCCAAACAAACGATTTCTCCTTTAAGAGCGACAGAAGTCCTAACAGAAATTATTTTCACGGGAAAACCCACCAAAAAGTCACCATTGTGTCTACAGATAGAGCTGACTGCACGCATGACACCGGTCAAAGTTTATTCAGTAGCACAAGAGACCGCACGCTGCAACATTTGCCTCCCACGACCACACGCAAGTCTTCCCTTGCACCCTGTCCAGGCCAAATTTGTTCCCCTCCCCATCCCCAGCCAATCTGCATGGCAGCAAACTCCCGCAGCCTCCAGGAGGAGGGACTCCAAGCAGTGAATTCTAAACCTTTCTCAACCTCGTACCCCAAAAACCCCATGGCCGTTTCCAGCAAAGCTGTGACTGGCAGCTCCACGCTGAACTTTGGCAAACAGACTGCATTCAGGATGCGTTGTGAGGAAATAAATTCTGTTCCTGTTGCCCAAGTAGGCAGAGTGCCCGAGGCAGGCGGTCCTACCTGCTCGACATTGTCCATGTCCAGCCAGTCCTGGTCGTCCAGGTCCGCGGCCATTTCTTCCAGATAGACGCAGCGCGCTGGGATCCCGTTCCCGCTCTTCATGCTAGGGTCGCCTGAGGAAGCCACAGAACAACCTGTTTCACCCAAACTGACGGAAAAACGTGCCAGCAGGCAACTGAACATGCAGGCAGGGCCCTGTCCGTGGCAGAGCCACCCGCTGCAAATTGCTGCACCGAGGCAGGCTCCCGCTCCCAGCGTTCCCCTTCTGATAGATCCAAGGGGGCTCTGCCCTGCGTGAGAGAGTTTCCCCAGCCTGTGATGCCCCCGCCCCCAGCTGCAATGAGGGTTCCCAGCACTCACTGTTGTCCAGAGTGATGAGGAATATCCTCTGGATCATGTGGTTGATGTTGAGCTGCTCGCACAGCTCCCGCTGCGAGCGGAAGGAGCGGCTGATCTCGGCCACCGAGTAGTCGCAGTCATCCAGGCTCTCGGTGACGCTGTTGTCGGAGTCATCTTGGCTGACCGAAGTCTCATCGCCTGCAAAACACGGCTCCTCAGCCTCCCGGCGGGGGAGGTCTCGCCTCTGCCGGAGGGGCCGGCGCCCGCCTCCCGCCCCGCCAAACCTGTCAGCTGCCGCAGCTGCTGCTGCTTCTGGACGGCGGCGAACTGCTTGGCGTCGGCGATAGAGCCGAAGAGGGCGGCGAAGGGGTTGCTGGAGATGCTGTTGTTGTTCTCCTGGTCGGTCATCTCCCCTCAGGGCCGCGCCATGCGGGGGAGGGGGGGCCGGGGCCGGGCTGCGGGGAGAGCCGCCGTCAGGGCCCGGGCCCGGACCCGGACCCGGACCCGGACCCGG